ACTGCTGAGGGCTGATGGATCGTACAGAGGACAGCTTGGCCTGCATCTGCGAGTTTGCGCAGGAAGCGCACGATGTTGAATGCAGCGCCAGAGTCAAGACCAGAAGTCGGTTCATCCAAAAACATAAGCAGTTCCGGCTTCGACGCAAGCTCAACACCAATCGTCAAGCGCTTCCTCTGCTCTGCGTTAAGGCCTTGTCCAACGGTACCGATAATCGCACCAGCAATGTCGCGCATCTCAAGAAGGTCAATAATGGTCTCGCAATACTCCATCTTTTCCTGCTTCGATACTTCCTTTGGTTGACGAAGTAGCGCAGAGAATTGGAGGGCTTCGCGCACGGTGGCGGTAGGTTCGTGGATGTCCATCTGCTCAGCGAAGCCAGTTGCGCGCTGGAAGGATTTGGGAAGGGGACGACCATCGACAAGGAAATCGCCTGTGATAGTGCCGAAGTTGAGACGTTGGGCGAGGCCGTTGAGAAGGGTTGTTTTACCGGCGCCTGAGAATGTTAGCGGTGGGAGATCAATTGAAGGAAATGGAACTTACCGGATGCGCCCATGAGAGCAGTCAATTTACCAGGGCGAACGTAGCCTTGAACGTCGTTGAGGAGTTTTCTCTCGCCTTTCTCGAATGGAATCGTGTAATTGATGTTCTGGAAGGTAAACACCGTTTCATTCTTAGCGACTTCTTGGGTGATTTGTTCATCGCTCTTGGTACGTTCAGCATCACCGTTCGCGACAGGATCGCGTCGACCAGACTCTTCATCTTGCTTATCACCTTTGGCTCTACCACCAGTTGCGATAGACTCTTCAACCTTCTTGGGGACTTGTCCTCGCTTGAAGACGGTGATCGCGCCGCCTCCGACGTTGGGCTTCATATGTTCCATACCAAGAGCAGTGAGGAACACGAAAAAGATGAAGAACGCCCAGAGGAAACCAAAGTTGCGCCAGAGATGGGAACGGGTGTATGTAAAGGATTCTTGGATGTACGCAGCGCCAGATACAGAAGTTGAACCAGGCGATGCACCAGCAAGAGTACAGCCCTGGTTCTGAGGTCGTGCGTTCGGGCCTTGCGGGACAAGATACGGTGGTTCGCATTGAAGAGTGAGGTAAGCGAATTCATTAGCCATGAGACACTCAAAACCGTACTGAATCCAATTGATCCATCGTAGCCACCCAAACCAAGGATGCATCGAGTCCGGCGGGATCAGATAGCCCGTATACACAACGAGAATCTGAATGGCAACACCTGTAAACCGCGTCGCGACATCCAACGTCCCGCACCAAGCTGAAATAGCCCTGAAGAACGCATACGTCACCATAGTGACAAGCCAAAGAATAAGACACGAGATAAAAAACTGCGACGCCGTTCTCGCAAGATTGGCCATGAAGTAGATGATGACATTGAAGATGATGACCTGTATAAAAACAAGCGGGACATCAACGACCGTCTGGGCAATGGCGAATGCAGAAGGGCGGTAGAACGAGAAGGACTTGTGCTTGAGAAGAATAGGTTTTGACTCGAATGCAGCTGTTTGTTCAGCTAGTGCGAGAAGAGCGTTGAAGAGAAGAAGAAAGAAGAGTGTACCGCCGCGAGGAAAAGCTCCAGCTGCTGTGTCGGGGAGATTGTAGAAGAGCGAACCGACGATGAGACCTTGGAACAACAACCCGCCCCATTTTCCAAACAGCGACGCTTTGTCGCCGAACATGACGAGGAATTGACGATGCGTGCACGCCATGACCTGTTTGTGGAAGGCAATCTCATAATTCTTCTTCTTGCTCTTCTGACTCTCATTCCGCCGCCGCTCCTCCGCCAGCGTCTCAAGCTCAGCCTCGAATTCATCGATATCACGCAGATTCTTCTGATAATCCTCGCTGCGACGATACGCATCTGAGAACTCCCCCGCCGTGCGCGGGATCCGATCCTCCCAGCCCTCACGAACACTGCGCTCATGCTCATCCGTCACACTCGTCAGAAAATCAGCCGTCGTCCAGCGCTCAGGGCACTCAAAGCCCAAGTTCTGAAAATACTTCTTCGCGTCTTCAGCGCGGCCAAAGTAAAGACATTTTCCCTCATCAATGAGCAGGACTTTATCGACGAGGTCATAAAGCGTCTCACCAGCTTGGTAGAGCGACACGGCGGTTGATGTATCAGCCATGTTGGTCATGGCGCGAATGGACTTGACATATTCCACTGCCGTGCTCGCATCGAGACCTTTGCTGGAATTATCCCAGCCCTGCACCGAAGCACGCGTGATCATGGCTTCAGCGATAGAAACGCGTTTGCGCTCGCCGCCCGAGACACCACGGATGAATTCATTACCGACTTTTGTACCGAGGGTATGTTCGATCCAGAAAAGTTTCGTAACCACGCGCAGAAACTCACGGACGTAATCCTCGCGCGTTTCGCCCTCGAGGCGTGATTCTTTGCCGGGCGTGCGTGTCTGTAGTGCGAAAGTGAGGGTGCGCTTCACAGAGAGCGTGGCGTAGTGCAGGTCGTCTTCGGGGTTGTAAATGACCTCGCCGCGGAAATCTTTCGCCATAGTCGCTGCGTCGGTTCCACCGTACGTTACCTGTCCTTCAACGGACTCAAAGCCCGCGCGCTGGTTGCAGAATGTCTTGAGGAATGTACTGCATCCCGCGCCAGGTCTGCCGAGAACAAGAAGTAATTCACCTGGTCTAACGCAACCGTCGAAGTTACTGATGAGGTCTCTAACAGGTGGTTTCGCCATCGCAGCTTTGGGGCCCAATGTAAACAACTTGCCCAGTTTTCGCGGTAGGCCTAGGAAGAAATCTCCAACGGTAGGCTGAAGACTGGACCCAAGACCGACACCGCGAACAGTGAGGTTACGAAAGATAACACCGCTATGGCGCGTCTTTTCCTCCTCGCTTTGTTCCTGGCGCTTCTGGCCAAAGATGCGAGACATGAGACGGTCAAGTTCCTCATGGTCTTCGTTTTCTTCTTCCTTCTCGGCGGGTGTTGAGGCATTCGTGCGTCGACGGGAGAGCACGCGGAAGAGATCGTCTTCAGTGCGGTGAGACTGGCGTTTCTCGAGGGGCGGTTTCTCGTTCTCGGTGTGAGATTTGATCGGCGCAAAGATTGGTTCGTCGTTATTGGCAGACGATGCACTCTTGCGCTTCTCTTCAGTGGATTCGCCGCGAGGGGGAAGAACAGTGCTCGACGAAGAATTGCGATCGAGAATAGGCGCGTGCTGCTGAGGCTCAGAGATTAACGCCCCAGTCGCGCCGAGTGAGGCTGCACTGCCGGCGGTGACATGATCATACGTCGTAGCCGCAGCATCATATTCACGGCCCGCAAACCCGGCCTCAAGGTGTCTATCGGTGACGTTTCCCGTTGGGGTAATCGAATTGACGCTTGGCGTAACGGGAAAACCGCCTGGGATGTCTTCATCCCTGGGCGTAGGTCTCTCATCAGCCATTTTGACGGAAACTTCACAGCGATAATGGTGAACACATTCTTGAGGATCCACGGGCATTGACCATAATAAACAGACATTTTTTCACTTGTGATTTATCTATGACGACATCAAGGAATGGTCTAGTCGGGCTTTCGGACATGCTGGAATTGCGACGCGGTCCGGGCGCTGGGTGGAGATTGGGCGTCATAGATTGAAAGAGTAGATTACCCTGGAGCGCCTCGGAGAGATTAATATTGAGGTGCGAGTGACAGGCGCTACAGGTCGAGTTACGCATGACGTTGCAGCGGCATTTTTAATTGTCCGACGGACGCCAAGTGTCGTCAGCTGGAGCTTGTGATTATCAGCTTGTCATACACTTTGACCTTTCGGGATATTTGTTAGATCGCACTATATAATCTTATTCTTCGGTCTCGAGCGGCTTGCAACCAACCCAACCTGGAGAGAACAAGATCAGGGCTAATTCATAATGGAATATTGACAGAGATGTTTCATTTTTCTTCGCTCTGTGCGATTCGTTGCACCCAATGTCTTATGCGTGTAAGATTTGTCTATGCTGTGTAACTCCCCCGGTGGCAAAATTTGTCATTGACTCAAATGCGGCGTCTCACTCAAAAAGCCCATGTCGCTCACAGCCCCCGTAGCACTCACTCACCGTAATCCCCTATAATCTCCACCGCCAAGATCCCACCACTTCTCACTAAAAATACAGCATCACGCGATGGCACTAAAACATTGCGCTTACCAGGAATCTCACCAGGGGCAGAAAAAGTCCGGAAGTAGATCTACCAATTGACTAGACCAGAACATGATTTGAAACATGGCCAGATGAAAATCAGATCATGGTCTCCGATGATCATCGGGCATTGATGCTGCCATTTCGAGACGCCTGCAGCGAATGTTTCAATGTCTGTCTCAGCTCGACCTTTCATATCTCAGCGTCTCAAAGGCGGGCGCCAATTAACCGCCGACGCAGACAATACGCATTTCTCGCGCTCGGATGAAATAATCCGATTGTGATCTAGCGGGAGATGTTCCCGCGCCTCGGGCAATTTATCTGATCTGGTCTAACTTGTACGGTACCTGAATTTAAAAATCGTGAAGCCAAGCTCAGCTTCAAAGCCCAAAACACCACGACCAAAGAGTGTAGATACCCAAATTAAACCAAAATGCTGTGTTTTCTCAGCGTCGAAATCAAATGCAAAAGTGCTGCGACATGTGCCCCCCTCATACGATTTGCACTTTTTGGTTCCCCCCAGCCCAGACCCAGCCCAGATGCAAGTCTCGAACGCATAGGGAGCCCTTGTGTTACACAAACCCAAGGGCATTCGATGCCCAACATGCCTCTTGAGATATCCGAACCGCTCCGTTGTGCTTGATTCGCTAAGCTTGCTGCTTTTTGCTTCTGTGGGCGAAATGTAGGCCATGTCCATGCTGGCGATGGTCGAGGTCTATATGAAGGCCCCAATTCCCCCCAAGATTTCACTGACAATAACGCATCCCAAACCACTCAAACATCCTCTTTTTATACTATATCATCACCAATATCTTCATCAACACCAGAACCATGTGTCAGGTAGTTGAAGAAAACGGCAACAAACCCCAGAAGGAGAGTCAGAGTCAGAATCAGAATCAGAGCTGCGGCGCGTCATCTGAGGCTACGGGATCGACGCAGGGTCTCAAGCCTGTCGATCAGCCTCGGTATCACGTCGAGACCTTCCCCATCCCCGCTCCCCTGTCGGAATATGACCTTGATTACCGACGCACCATGACCATTGAGTCCCAGCAGCGACTGTGGCCCCAGGACATCTGGGTTCACAGTCCACATGGACGACAGCTGTACCAGCCTGTGCTGATGTTTGCGACTGCGCCGGAGCACAAGCCGGAGACGAACGGAAGCGCTTCTAAGAGCGGTTAATTGAGATGCGATACGGGATAATGGGTTGGAGGAGTCGTGATGGGAAAATGATTGAATGGGCTTGGGTTAACGGACGGTACGGAACACACGCGACGGAGTTGGGGTCTTTCATGACATTCCAATCAGATCAATTGGGATTTATTTGCTTTACTCTGCATTTCGACAAAAACAACAAAACAACAACAAGGGCTTTCTACGTGTGTAACAACCTGCAACATATTGGGATCAATCACTGTACTAGCATAGCGAACACGCTTGATGAGAAACAATACATCACAATTGCTTCCCCAACCCAATTAAAGCATCAGCACTCAAACCTCCACTCCACATCCTCCCATCCCTGCCTCATCGCCATCTCAGCCCCCAACCCAGCGCCATACCTCTCAGGCCTTACCGTCCCGCCCGCTAGCTGCGGCCCCAGCATCTTGACATCGCCAAAGCCCATCCCTACAGCCTCAATCTCAAAGCCCAGTAGTAGAGCGGACGAGAAGCCGATGATCTCTGCGAAAGCGAGGTTCCGGCCGGGACACAGATGGCGACCGCCGCCGAAGGGTATGTACGCTGCTTTTCGCTTGCGCTCGTCTTCTGCGCTGCCCTTGGATGCGGGGAGGAAGCGCTCTGGATTGAAGACGTTGACGTCTGCGCCCCAGACACTATCCTCGTAGTGGGCTACGCCAGCGGGGAGTTGCAGGTCGGTATCCTTTTTGAGAATGTATGTTGTTCCTTCGGCCGTCGTGACGCTTGTGTCTTGGAGGATACGTCGCATGCTGAGAGTCTGGTTTGCAAGCCGCAATGTTTCGCGATAACAACTCACCAGCAGGGGAAGCCTCTCTTCAAAATCCGCTATATTAAACGTCGCACTCCTCTTCCCATTAATATCCTCCACGACAGCTGCACCTTCAGCTTCGGCTCGTATTCGCGCGAGAAGATCCGGTCGGTCGAGGATGTACAGCAAAAGCCAGTAAAACGTCGGCACGGCATTAAGCGTCGCCACGTTCGGGAGAATAACCTCAAACTTGCCAATCTCGTATCCCGTGAGACCGTTCTTTCGTAGTGCTCCGGCGCGATTTCGTACGAGGGCCGAGACGCTGGGGTCGTGGATGTCGTGGTCTTCGGAGTACCATTTGCAGGCGATGTTTTGGAGCGTGGAGCGCGCTTTGTAGGCTTTTGGCATCGTGATTGAGGGGAAGAGCGAGAGGAGGAAGTAAGGGACTGATTCTTCGAAAAGCCTGGCTTGTTAGCGATGCGTAGACGCGGGATGGGGTGCCATACCACATGTCGTCAATTAAAGAGGGATCGCGATTGAACGGATCAGTGTCGCCGTACAGAGAACGCGTTGTAGCAAGGCTCATAACATCGCGACACCAAAGATATAAATTCTCGACATATAGTCGTCCATTTGCGACCGTCTCTTTTCCAGCATTGATCGAATCGGCACGTATCGTCGCGCGGTTCAGCTTCGCAGCGATGCTACCCAGGAAATGCACATTCATGTGATGCAAATGCCTGACCTGAAAGCTCGCATGGATCGCCTCGGTGAATTCATCATAAACGCCGGGTACTTTGACCTTCGCAAACGTTTCTTGCTTTAACGCGAATGTCTTCTTCGCGTAGTCGAAGACAAAGGGCTCGAAGGACGCGGTTTTATTGCGGAGGAGAGTTTGGAGCAGGGCGGGATCGAAGGCGGCGTAGACTTTGCCGTTGAGCATGGGCAGGGTCGCGATTTTGACGTGAGGATTCTCATTGCTGCGATTGATGTGTGAGCGATTGAGGGAAGTGAGGGAGAGGGGAGACGGACTGGATTATTCTGCTGTAATCTGCTTGGTGACGAATTATCCCGATGATGTGTCCTACCCACGGAATCGAGGGTTTCACGACGGGCGGTTCACGTGGGTCAATGCGGGGAGTTAGTAGGCGGTTTAGCAGAGCGAACGCCACTATAACCGCCAAAGCGGTCGTGCTTAGAATTGTGACATTTGCACTGCGATAGTCAACGAGACTTGTCAGTAGAGATTGAGATTCCATTGTCGCTGTGGATGTGAGAGAATGAAGGAATTTGGGCGGATTTATTTGAGGAGCGGTGAATTGTTAATGGTGCTGACTGTATTGGTTCCTGGCGTTGCTAGTGCTGAGGCCGGGAGATCCGATCCAGAGGAATTGGCCAGTTATAGTGTATTCGCTTGCGTATCAGTATCGTCAGCGAGTGACTTGCGCGATTATCATTGGCTTCAGTGCTGAAGATGTCATTGTTGAGCTATGACTACCAATTTTTAGTCGTGAGGTATCATGGCCAACACTCTCATGGAGCAGCACGTAGTCTCGTTGGTGCTGTTCCAGTGAAGATGCACTGAAGCTTCCCCACTGTTGCGACGACCAGAGTTCAACCGCCGACAGTACAAAAACATCAACGACCAAACGGCACAAACTCAATGTGACATAATTAAATCTATAGTCCCAACTGCCGCGAAACTCAAAGCTTCGCAACAGGCTTCTCTGCCTTGATCTGCGCCTTCAAGACCCTCCTCAGGATCTTCCCACTCGGACTCTTGGGTATAACATCCAGCACCCTAACCCCGCCCTTCAACCATTTATGACGTGCCTTATGACTCTCAACATGCTCACAAACAGCCTTCACAACATCCTCATCCTTCAAACCATTCGTCTTCTTGCTCTTTACAATAAACGCTAGAGGCACTTCGCCGGCGCGCTCGTCGACAATGCCTATGACTGCACAATCATCCACGTATGGATGGTCAAGGAGATGCGCCTCCAGTTCAGCGGGGGCAACTTGATGGCCCTAAAAAGTCAGCAATGCTTTGAAGGACGCGCCGGGGGCTTACCTTGACTTTAATAAGTTCCTTGATTCGATCGACGATGAAGAAATGATCGTTTCCGCGTGGGGATTTCCGCACGAGTACTTCATCGCCCGTCCTCAACCACCGCCCATCATTACGGTGTACAAACGTCTCAGCGTTAGCCTTCTCATTGTGGAGATAGCCCAGTACGACATTCGGCGCTTGGACGTATAATTCGCCTGGTGTTTCGTAGCTTGTCACTTCAGAGCCGTGCTGGTCGATGATCTTGACTTTGGCGCCGGGGAGGAGAGAGCCTGATGAGCCAAGGACGGGATCTGCTTCGCTGGTGTGAAACACCGCCGGTGAAGCCTCCGTTAAACCTGGTCTGTTAGTTTTGACTAGAGACTGATGATGGTGAACGTACCGTAGCCTTGGCTGATTCTCCATTTGGGATATAACTCGAGTAATTTCTGAATCGTCTCACCTCCCAAGGGTGCAGCACCAGAGAACACAAGCCTCACTGAGTCGAGATTGTATTTCTGGCATTTATCCTGGCTGCTAAGAATCTGCACGATGATCGGCGGTACGACGCTGAGTTGCTCAATGCGGAATTTCTCAATAGCCGCGAGCAATTGATCGAGTTGGAAGCGCTGTAGAACGATGATCTCATCGCCGCGGTACTGTGCTATATGGGCGATTACAACGAGCCCGTAGATGTGGCTGAAGGGTAAAAGACCGAGAGCTACTTGCGTGTCGATATTGTCTTGGGCGCGGGTTATGGACTCGAAGGTATGGATCATGAGGGTGCATGCGATGACGTTGTAGTGAGAGATCATAACGGCTTTCTAGGCTTGTTAGACAGAACATAGAAGGATATAGTATACGTACGGGAAGACCTGATGTACCGCTTGAGTAGCACAAATATGCGACTTGTCGTTTTCCCTGTCCTGGTGTCCAAGCTGGTAGCTCCAACGGTGGTAGAGTCTTACCCTCTGCGATTAGATCTTCAATCGTTTTGAAGGATCCTTCAGAGGGAGTCTCAGGTAGAGGGAGCAGAAAAATATACTTCTCTGGAATTCCGACGGCAGAAGCTGCTTTGAGCGCTGTGCTGAGAAGAGGAGCGCAAGTGAATAGTGCTTTGGCGCCTGATGATCGAAGTTGATGTTCGAGTTCAGACGCCGAGTGAGCTGAACTAGCGGGCGTGACGATGCCGTCTACACGATGGATAGCGTGCGTGACGGGGATATAATCAATCTGCCCAAGTTATTAGAACTGTCAAATTCGTATAAAATTGAGAAGCGTTACCGTGTTGAGGGCGTAAATCGCCACGACTCTGTCCCACGCTGTTCCATCATTCCGATCAAACCCGACATTTTTCGCTAACCCGCGCGCCAGCAAGTCAACACGCTGTGCAACCTCCTCCGCAGTCCGCGACGTGCCCGTCACACCGCACGTATACGGCCTCTTTGACTTGTCAAAGCTTTTCCTCCCTGCTTTTTCAGTATTGATAAAGTCTGCTACACTGATTGAATCAGGTATATCTACTCCAGTTAGTACTTCCTCTGGGAGAGCGGGGCACTAACAGTACCTGGGAGGTTAGGGACCCAAGAGGGAGGATAAAACGCCATTTTTATGGTTATGAGGTGGGATTGGATATTGGGGGATGTTGGTGATAAGATTGGGAGGTTGTTTGGTGTATTTAAGCTATCTTTGGACCGAGGTTTGCCTGTTCAAGTTCCACGGGATCAGATACCGAGCTGTTGATCTAATATAGGGAGTGGACCAATGAGAGGGGAGGGGATTGAGGAGCGTGGGGAAATCCGGGGAAGACATGTGAGGGATCTTCGTGGGTTTACCCTGGAGGCTTGGGTCTAGCGGTTTTCGTGAGTAAATGGCTTTTGGGGGTACAGGACGAAGAGATAGCATTGTTGGTTCAAGATACATTTGCGCTGCTTAGTTAAATGTATGGCGTTGCAACCCAACAGATGCAGGTACATGGTTAAGAGTCTTGAGTTTGAGATACGCGATAAACTCAAACACTGTTACGGAGCAATGAACGATGGCACTTCAGCGAAACGTAAAAAGACTTCAGCCTTGACAAAATTTACCCAATAACCTCCGGAATATTAGGAGCGAAAGATCAATTGAATAATATGAAACAGCATTTATTCTACAAAAAAGCAGTCATTGCAGGTGCATCAGATTGGGCGACGAGCAAAAACGTGGTTCCGCCCGGGATCGAACCGGGGACCTTCTCGGTGTTAACGAGATGCCATAACCAACTAGACCACGGAACCGAGCACTAGTTTTGATTGGTTGAAAATCGACTGCGAATTAGACTCCAAGTCGCTGATCCTCAATCCACGGATTGGCCAGACTTGGATGGGATATGTTTTCAACGGTGAAGCTTATCGGTTTGCGACGTCGAGTGTCAATTATAATTAGACACTGAAGCTTTAAAGGGGCTTTGAGATTGTTATCAGTTTTATTAATGACTTATTCCTTGATTAATATGCCGACATTGCCTGTAACGCCTGTGATCTGCGTATGTGTATCCACCAAGCCCAATAGTTTCATTACCATTCTGGTCAAATCGGCAACCTCGTCTTAGCCCTACTCAACGTCTCAGCACACCTCCTCGCAATATCACTCTTCTTCCCCAGAATCCACAATATCCTAATACACTCCTCCCCCCTCCCCAACCTCTCCTCCAACTCTTCCCCCGCGCGATCAACCTGCAACAACTCATTAACCTCCGCCATCCAATAATTCGCCGCCTTGCTAAACGCGCGTATCAGGATAACCGTCCACGGCTCCGTGAGGATCATGCACTGGTTGATGGCGTGGTGAAACTCTGAGAGCGTGGGCACGATCGGGGTCCTGTTGTCCGGGGCGGTCACGCGCGCTAGGTCGGATAGCTCTCGGGCGCTGCGCTCGCGGATCCGCATCACCCATTTGCAGTTGGAGCGGGATTGGCTCGGGGCGGGGAGGCCGAGGGCGTGCTCGTCGATGTGGTGGATTAGATCGGCGAGGAGGAGGACGCCGAGATTCCAGTGGGCGCAGATGCAGATGAACCAGCTTTGGATGCGGCCGGGGATGGAGTTGTAGTTTTGAAGAAGTTCTCTAAAGAACGTGCCACTATACAGATTAGTACCAGTGCATGAATAAAAGAAGTGCAGACTTACTATGTCGTGTTCCAGTAGCGATAAACCCTTGCAGACCGTTCAATAAACCCCTCAACCTTCTCCCCAGACTCCCCCTGCCTCAATAAATTCTGCAAATACGCTACATGGCGAAACATCAACACCTTGACCGGTGCAGATCTCGTAACCGCCTCAGCAGCCTCTTCATACGAACAAGGCCAGTGGACATTCTGCCTCGGCTTCTCAAGACTATCCTGAATAAACAGCGGAACGTTCCAATCCGTGTCCCCACGCGCATCATCATGCTGACTGTTCGCATCCACAACAACAAGCGGCCTCTCACTCATCGTCGAACTAACCGTGTCAAACATCACTGTCAACCAGTATAGCAAACTCACAGTCCCTGCGTCTTCGCTGCTCATGGACGCCACGAGATTGGCACGCTTGCGGCCTTTGGTGAGACCTTTCCGCTCAGCGTCGAAGCGGTATTTTAGAGTGTGCATTTTGCGGGCCGCGCGCTCCATGAAGATGGGCGGGCCGTCATTTTCGATTATGCTGGCGATTTCGTCGGCGACGGATTGCATGTCGTATACGTCCTCGAAACAACCTGATGTGTCGACGTCGCTGTGCTCTGTGTCTTCGGGGTCAAGAGGTTTTTGCGTGAGGCCGAAGATCATTTCTGCGCAGACGACGCGGTAGGACTCTACGTCTGCGACGTCATCTAGAGCGCGTCGTGCTTGATCCCAGATGTTTCGTTGAAGGTGGCGATCAAACTCTTCTTTAAAATCGTCCATGTACTCGTTTAGTGGGTTCTCTTCTGCGATGTCGTCTAGTGAGGGATATCGTTCTCTGTGTCGTCGTGAACTTTGAGCCCATTGTGTCGCGAACGCCATGATACACAGATGAAGAGCTTTCGCAGTCGCTGAGTCTTGCTGCCGGGACAAATGAACCAATTGCGTTGATTGAGCCACGCGATCGAGATTCATTGTGCGTCGCAGAACTCGATTCGTCCATGAAGATCCCCATTCTGCAAGATTCCCTGGTTGAGAGACAGTCTTCTGCTGCCGACCAAACGGACACGTCACTTCATTCAGCCAGCACGATAAATTATGCTCCAAGACATCGTGATAAATCTGCAGCAGATTCGTCGAGATCATGAGGTTGTTGGACCTTGTCATCATCGACTGATCCATAGTGAAGGACGATAACGAACTACTCTGCGTATCGCTCCATGTAGTCGACACACGACGCCGTTTCGGTCTTCGCCAGTCTTTGTCGTTGTTCGGACTAACTGCGATGAGAGACTGTGCAGGTTCCGTGGGACTGACGGTAGGGAACTGCGACATTGATGCAACATCGAATTGAAGTTCAGGCGAGATCGTTGAGTCTTTGCAGAAGTCCCAGGGCTCGCTTAACGGTTCCTCGGGTGCAGTGAGATCCTTGAATTGAATCCCGTAGAAATTAGCGTCAACAGGCTCTGTTTGCTCAGGCACAAAGTCGAATGGTAGCGCATCGAGTGAATTGTCGATAAATGAGGGGACGTTTAGGCTGGTGTCGATCTCTGAAAAGACCGGCACTGGAGGGAGAGACTGCGAGACAAAAGATTGCGCTGCTGATTGGACATCAAAGTTGTTATCATCCGGGACAATAGAATTCGGCGTATCGCGTGTATTTTCTGTTGATGTCGATTCTCGTCGTGTAGATGTTGAATCTCGTCTCGAGGGGACGATGCATTCAATACCTGGTTCACCCCGCGCAGCCGCAGCGAGAGCATAAGAGATCTGAATCTGCGTCCACGCCCAGTTCATGGTACATTTCTTATGAGTCTTTGTGCAGTACGAACACGGCGACGATTGAGCTAGAGGTGCTACACCATCTGTGTGTCAGCACTATCAAGGACTGCTGAATCGGGCGGGGATCTCACGCTTCTCGCCTACAATCATCTTGCCATCGCGGAGGGGGTCCATATTTCCCGGGATCTCCAACGGCGGAGCGTCGCAGCCCCTCTTTGACTTTCTACACTGATCGCAGGCATATTGCGTTCTCTTCATGGTCGTGCTGTAATGATGTCGATATAACTTAGGGGTCCTGGAGTAAATAGAGATGGTAGCGTGGGAAAAAAATTGCATCAGCGACAAAAAGTGGGCGGAACTTGGGTTAAAGCTCTCCCCTCCCTTGCAGATATAGTCCCCTCTTCCCCCCTCCGGATCCCCGGATTCCCAACTGATCCGAGCGCTTGTTTCCCCGCGTTCTTTGCTCTTTTGGTTTAGTGCGACCAGTCAAAGTTCGTGCTGCCTTGGAGGGATGGAGGGGGGGGACCCCTGGGAAATGTTGGCTTACGACTAGTCAACAGCCTCATTTGTTTAATGAAATGGTTGTGTAGATCGAGATGAGCAGAGTTTCTAGACTCTTCCAATATCGAGGTCAATGCGTAACTTTACACGAGGCACTGAGGCTGTGAATTGTGAACGGGCTACGCCGCAATGTCTTAGCTGACTCTTCGATTCTGACTCAAAACTAGCTTAACTCAGATCTCAAATCTCATCTCATCTACAAAACAGCCTTGTAAATCTCAGTCTCAACAGCGGCCCAGAGCCCCAAGACCTTGGCATCAGCAAACGGCAGAATCTGCGTGCAGACGATCCCTCCAATGCCGTGCTCGCGATCAGCCCACCACCACAGATTAGCTAGCCCAGCCCACTGAACCGTGCTCTTCGATCGCCCTGAGAAGCCTCCATTGGTGAGCATGAATGTCAATCCCCAGCCCTGCAATTTTCAATGGTTAGTGTGTCTGCTGAAATGCGGGGAAAGGGAGGGAGCGTCGTACCTGGGGTGGATTTCCGTCGACGGGGTATAGCTCGCCGATTGGGTTGGTCAGATCTGGTTTGGCAGCCGGGATGGGCTGACGGCTGAAGTTGGGGAATTTCTCGATGCTGTTGCTCAGCATGAGATCGACCGTTTCCTTCTTGAGGATCTGGGCGCCTGTGTTGGGACATGTTCCGCCGTTGAGCAGAACAGTGAGGACCTCTGTTTAAATCAGCATCCATTCACCCGCATCAACATTAAATATATGTACTTACTTCCGTACTCTTGGGGCTGCGCAAACATTCCCGCGCCGCCGCTATGGAAGATTGAAGCGATTTCGCTCGCGTTGTCAGTCACCAGAGGAAGACGCTGGAGATGATCGCGCGTTCGCAGTGTGCCGTCTGCGTCGCGCTGATGCATGTGAGCTAATCTGGCGCGCATTTCTTTACCGGGAAGCATGGACATGTTTTTGATACCCAGAGGCTGAAAGACGTTCTTCTGGAGATAATCGTTGAGACGCAGACCGCTGGCTCGTTCAAGCGCGATGCCAGCCCAGTCAATTCCGACCTGAAATGTTAGCAGACGTTGAATGAGGTGAACATAGAACTTACGCCGTATTCCCAGCCTTCGCCGGGCTGGAACAGAAGAGGAAGCTTGACGATATCCTCGATGCGACCAGAAAACTCATCAATACCAGCAGGATGACTCCAATTCCTCAACCGCTCATTGAAAAACGTATATCCGAAGCCCGCAGTATGCGTCAGTAGCATTCGCAGCGTAATCAGATTCTTCTTGTCCTCAAAGCTGCCATCAGGCTTCAAGACCTTCAGACTCTTAAGTTCAGGAACAAGACTCTCCAAATGTTCACCGTCATCGAGCTTTAGCTTCCCCTGTTCAACGAGCTGCATGCACGCGACACCAGCAAGCATCTTGGTGCACGAAGCGATCCAGAATACGTTGTCCAGCGTCATGGGCTCATTGCTCCCGACACCGCGCGTACCCGCTGAATGCGCGAATATCTCGCCGGATTTGTCGACCAATACGACCGTGGTACCGGGAATACCGGTCTTTTGGTCGGCGCATGCATCGTCGATTATGCTGCGCAGCTTGGATGTCGCTTGGGGAGTGATAGGCATGTTGGGGCAATACAACGTAATGTGAGGTTTGAATGGGGGTTGATCAATTGTTACGGAACTGTCTGCGGTATCCCTAGTGAAGCTATCTATTTATACTGCTAGTCGCAATGGCGCCTTGATTCAAAGATAGTGCAGCCTTGGCTCGTGGCCCGCGCCAGCTCACAAAGGTTATTAAGTCATATGACAGGCTAACACCCGCATACAGCACCTTACTCTATTCAACCTCAACCCCGCCCTCGCGCAATCTAACTGAGTTCTGTTGACCAAAAACACCAAGGATTCCAGCGTAGATCCCTTCCCTAAGCTTGCGGACCCGCATCCGCAGATACGAGTGCACAGACGAGGGGTAGAACAAAAACCAGATAAGACCCGCTCATCCTTTTGAATTTACTGAGGATGCGGCGCCGCGTGCGCTCGGCAGTTCATGGCGTCCGAGGCCCCGTGGGGTTCGATCCGGGGCAGAGCGTGCGGGGAAGACGACGTGCTGTAACCTCGCTGTGTCTCGTTTGGTGGCATTGCATGGGACAGGAGCGAGCTGGACGTGGAGACGTGACGAGGCGGATGCGGGTACGCAGTTACGCAGGGCGGAACGGAGGCCGGTTGCTTTCACATGATGCTACTGTAGAGTTTCACGGAGATGCAAGGTGTTTCGATTTGATGAGATGCAGGACCAACATGCATATGACGGACGAATTGTGTTTATATACTGGTTGTATTTCCTGTAAAGTAAGTTGTTCTTTCATCACAAGCAAATCTTTTCATCTCAAGTATTACTCTTTTACTCAAGAATAGTTCACAATGGGCGAGCAGATTCCAGTTCACAAGAAGTTCAACACTGAGCTTACGGATTACTCCGTCGAGCATCATGGCGATCAAGGTGTCTATGCCGATAATCTCGAAGTAGACGCTCTCGTCGTCGGTGCTGGCTTTGCTGGTATCTTCATGCTCAAGACCCTGCGAGACCGTGGCTACAAGACTGTCGTTTACGAAGCTGGCAATGATACTGGAGTAAGTAAACCACTGCCAATCTGGCCATTGAATACTGACGGAATAGGGCACTTGGCGATGGAATTGCTATCCCGGTGCTGGTGTCGACTCCGAAGTGCCTGAATACGAATTCAGCTGGCCTGAGGTTTACGATACCTGGACTTGGCCTTGCAACTATCCTACCTACGCTGATCTTCGCGCTTACTTTGACCATGTCGACAAGGTCCTCGACATCAAGAAGGATATTGCGTTCAACACTGTTGTTGTAGGCGGCAAGTTCGATACCGAGAGCGGTCGATGGCATATTCGCACTGCAGACGGTCGTGTCGCCAAAGCCAAGTATCTCGTCCTCGGAACCGGCTTCGTAAGTCTCCCTACAACCATCAGAAGCGACTTGACTAACCTCGTAGGCTGCCCGTCGATATATCCCCGACTGGCCCGGCATGGACAAGTTCAAGGGCATCATCCACCACTCCTCCTTCTGGCCCGACGAAAAGGTCGACGTCACCAACAAGCGCTGCGCCATCATCGGCACCGGCGCCTCAGGCGTGCAGATCACGCAGGCCTGGGGTCCCGAGGCCGGGCATCTCAAGGTCTTCCAGCGAACCCCCAACCTCGCCGTCCCCATGCGCCGCAAGTACCCCTCCGCCGAGGAGCAGAACCAGGCCAAGAAGTTCTACCCCGAGCTGTTCCGCTACCGCGAAGATTGCTTTGCGGGTTTCCACTACGACTGGTACGAGAAGAACACCTTTGATGATACGCCCGAGGACCGCGAGGCTCTGTATGAGCAGGTCTGGAAGGATGGCGGTTTTAGGTACTGGGTTGCTGTGTACAAGGACAACCTGTTCAATCCCGAGGCGAATAAGGAGTCGTACAAGTTCTGGGCGAAAAAGACACGCAACAGGATCGGTGACCCTAAGAAGCGGGATCTTCTTGCGCCGACGGTAGAGAACATGCCTCACTACTTTGGCATCAAGCGACCGTGCTTGGAGTACGATTACTACGAGCAGTTCAACAGGGAGAATGTGGATGTTGTTGATATCAAGAACAATGCGATCAAGGAGTTTACCGAGACGGGTATTACGCTCGAGGACGGGACGCATCATGAATTCGATGTCATTGCTGTTGCGACAGGATTTGTAAGTCACCCGAAGAATTCTTGGTGCAGAGACGCTAACGTTGATAGGATGTTGTCACTGGTGGTGAGTGCGGCTTTAGGAGGGAGGTTTGAGTATGCTAATGATCTTAGTGATGACGCAGCTTGGTCTTCAGAGCATTGAGGGCGCGGAACTCGAGAAGGAATGGAAGACTGGCGCGACGGTATGTATCTCCCCTCAACCCTTCATATCAGCTCTAACATGAATAGACCTATCTCGGCGTCACTACCCCCGGCTATCCCAACATGTTCCATATCTACGGTCCCCACGGCCCGACCCTTCTCAGCAACGGCCGTAAGTCACAAAATTCTCTCTATATCACCACGACTAACAACCCCCAGCTACATCCGTCGCCGTCCAAGGCCGCTGGATCGTCGATGCCATCGACAAGATCAAGCTCAACGACATCAAGTACATCAACCCCTCCAAGAAGGCCGGCGAGGAATGGAAGAAGCACATCGTCGAGCTCAACAACAGGACTCTCTTCCCCACCACTCGCTCCACGTAAGTCCCCTCCACTGCACAAAAGGAATGAGCGTTGCTGACCATGTGAATAGATACATGGGCGGCTCTATCCCTGGTAAGATTTACGAGCCTGTTTGTTACTCTGGTGGTATTCCAGCGTACAAGATTGAGATTCGCGAGGCCCTTGATACTATGAAGGGTTTTGAGGTTGTCAAGAATAAATAGACTTGATGAGAGGGGTTTGTACTCTGGCTATCTCGAGCTCTTGCTGGAGTACGAAGTGTTGGTAGATCTTAGCTTTTAGTTGTGCAATTTATGTTTTGTTCTTTTATACTTTTGGGTTCATGAGTGATGTCTTTGGCCTCTGATACTCTGAGGCTTGATTCGTACATGCAATATTTGCAAGCTCGCTCATCACAGTAATGTTTGAGTATTTGACATGTTACTAGACCTTGATAGCTTTTGAACGAGCATATGAACTACCCAACAGCTCGATGGTTC